GGTGGGAGAGAGCTGCCGTCCTCGGTTGGGAGTTGACTGTGAGCTGTTGGGCGGGGGGTGGTGGGGTGTCACCGGTCCGCCTGTCGGCACCGTAGCCTTCAGCTGGGCCGGAGCGGCTGTCTGCGTTAGACACAAAGAAAGAGCTTGTGTTAGAGGTGCGCTTGGCTCCTTACACGGGGCTTGGGAAAGGTCTTCTACGCCCGCGGTTCATCCGCAACAGGGACAGGGTTCCCAGAGTTGTGAAGTTTGTCTCCTTCGAGCTGATTTGCCTCGAAGAATTAGGCCCCGAGGTTTGCAGACGTGCCTTGGGGCCAACCCGTGTCGTGTTCAGAGCTCGGTGTTACGCGAGCAGAGGGGTGAAGCCGGACCGCTTGCCAGCAGAGGCTCGGATGGAGCCCTCCTGGTTGTCGTTTGGGAAGACCAGCCACTGCGTGCCTCTCCTTCACGTGGTTGCTCGGCAGCTCCTCCAGGGCCTGCCTTCTGGAGAAACGAAAGTCTAAAAATAATGTCCTATTTGTTCTTGTAGCACGCAATGAAGGGCAGACGTGGGGGGAGGAACGGGGAGACTATCGCCTTGCCTTTATTATGTTTTACTGTTTAAACAGGACTATAGCTTGTGATTAACAGCCTGTTCCAGTAGTGCCTATGGTGTGCTAAAGACTTTTCCAGCAGAAAGGAATAAAGAATGCCTGAGCTGGAAATTTTGTTCGTGGTCAAAGAACTTTTTATTTTGTGAGAACGCATTTTGAAAGATCACAGCCAGTTATGTCAATAGGAACAGAGAGACAGCGCTATTCTAGAAGACACAGGATAAGGTAAAAAGACATTAAAAGCAGAACAAGATCTGCTGCAGTGCCACAATGGTGCCTTGAATCTGAAGGCAGATGTGTGGTTCCTGTACAGCTGTCATTTGCAATGGCTCCCAGGCTCAAGGACTAGCAAACACTTACCTGAGCAGAGGTCGCCGTATGGAATCAAGCCCAGCAGCCTCATTATCTCTTATATGAACACCCACAATCATGTTTAAAGCTGAAAGAATTTTAGAAGTAGTTTTCTTTTACACCATTGCTGTTTGATTTTACTTTCTTAGCATAAGAAGGGAAAACAAAATTTAAATTCAATTCACTTTTTCTGCAGTTTCCCACATCTATATTGCTAAGGAATGTTTACACCTAGATGAGAAGTTTTATTTCCAATGATCTCTTGAGTAGTTCTTTGAAGAAGGAATGGTTGTGAAGAGTGGTAATATAGCTATCATTGTAACATCACAGAGTTAAAGCTCTTGAAGATTTTTTGGAGTCTGCAGAGTGAACATTTTTGAAAAAAATGAAACTAAATTTTTGGCAACAAGAGACATAAAGATGCCTGCTATAGTAGGTCATTCTGTTCTTTGGACTGTGTGTCTCTCTCTACAAATGCTTAAAACTGCATGATACTCATAAGTGTGTTCTATTTTGGTAATTTAACACTACAGTGCATTTTGTAATACTGTATATTCAGTTCCTCCCATTGCACTGACATTCAAGCATGAATCAGGACTCTTGGATGAAAGCAAAGTTTTCCATGTTCTCTTGTTCCCTGTTTTTTACACAGTCATTTAATTCTAACAACACAGCTTTAAAGTCAAAGCAGTACATGAAAAGCACATTTAGTTACAGAGGGAAAGTGTATTGACATGCAGAGTATTATTTAAACATATATCCACGCGGTCCCGCCGGATGCCCTACTGGGTAACCGAGTTGACTTCTGCCCCAGCGGGAGTTATGGTTACTTCCTCCCTATCGAACGGCCTCACCAACCGATCGATAGTAGCTAAAACCGGTGAAACAAACTCTCGGCATCGACCGTGTTCGTGCCTTGAGCCTCTGCCCACGAGTGGTTAGTTGGGCAAAACCAAATCTGGCTAGAGGGCGGCTTTATTTGGTATGACGATACCCTCAAACTTAAACTGGATTGTGGCAATAAGATCTTGTGGCCATTGGTGCCACTGTGGCCATTGGTGCCACTGACGGTCAGTGAAAGAGGGAACGGAATGGTATAGAGCGGTTTGGAGTTTGTGAGCTCGGGATTTGAACCAGGAATGTACGGTATGTCTCTTTCTCTGCTGTCCCCAATGTTGTACCCCCCGGCTGAACCAATAAAGAGAAAAGACGAGATGATGAGATATAGTGGGACTTTCCCCCACCCAACTCCACCTCGAAACTGTCTCTGTGGTGTGTAGAGGGGACGCTATTGGGATCTCAAAATCATGACGCGTCACGTCACGTACCATCTCGTGACAAAATTACCGGATTCGACCAGGTGGACGGGCCACCTTCACTTAACCTGGAAAAGGGACATGTATCTTGTATGCGTGTTCGATAAGTAGTAAGAAAAAAAGTGGAGCAACTGGGACAAAACTATTAAGTAACTACCTAAATAACATATGACATTGCTTGGTAACCTGATTGCTGCTGCAGACAGAAATTCAAATATTGATACTTGGTGATGGGTAAAATAAATTGGTTTAGCACAACTGTATAAATCTTGACTCAGCCTCCTTTACGCGCAGAGAAGCAGTGTTAACATGAATGAAAATAGAATCAGTGTAGCTGCAGAATAGCCCAGCAATTCTCTGCACTCAGCTGTTACTTCTAAAATGGCCACTCAATCATAATTAATCCAAGGGAAAAATCTAGAAGGTCCTTCACCCTAATTAATTTTACATTTGGAATTACCCTGGAAAGCCCTTTCCCATCAGGTTGCAGGTTCTCGCAGTGTACAAGGCTGAGACTGAAAAGCGAAATGTGCAGCTCCTTTTTTAGCTTTGCTTACAGCTTTTGTTTGAAAATATAGTCTGAAGGGACAGGGATTTGAGGCTTGGGGTGAAGGGGTCTTTTTTCTTTTTCTGTGTTTTCGATATAGTACTGTTGCAACTTAGGCAGCACAGTGTGTGGGTGGAGAAATTGGGAAACTGCCCTACATGGTTAGTGGGAAGAAGTTTCTTCAAAACATTATTCAACATACTTCAGTGCAGGGCACCTGCCGTGATTTACTTCGCAGAAGAAAAACTCACCCTTGATTAAGTGTAATGGAGGAGTGTGGCCTCTGAACTAAATGAGGTACCTAAAATCAAGGAGTGTGAGTATACTTGTGGATGTTCAGTTAGGTATCTAGTATTACTAAAAATACGAATAAAACATGTGAAAAGAGACAGAAAAATAACCGCATGTGTGTTTATGCTAATAGGCGCCTTTACAGGTAACAATGAAAATGTGCAGACAGTACGTACAATGAGGCAGGAGTAAGGACAAGAAGGAATCTCACCCGGTTCTAAGTTGCTGTGAGTTTCTTACGTTGTGCATGTAGTGCATGTAGATGAACAAGTAGTTCCATTTTCCCTGGGTGAGTACATCAGGGGCAGTGTATAACTAAAGAGAAAAGGGAACACGTTGTGGGTGAAAAATAGAGCCCCCAGTTCTGGCTCTTCGAGCTAAATGGCTTGTCTTTCTTGCAAGGTGGAAATTAATTGACTCTGTAAAGTGACTATTGGTATCTGAGAGCAAGTTCTGTTAGCTACCTGTTCTCTAAGGTGGTTTATAAATATTGTTTCAATTTCACACACACCCACCAGGAGTTTTTATCTTTTCTGATTTTCACATATTTGCTTTTTATTCATGCCAGAATTTTACTGATTGTTATGTTAACCAGTTAGCACGCTTGCGTTTCCATTCTTGATTTTTAAGTTTTTTTAAAGTCTTTTTGATCTTCTTTTAACACGGATAACTGCTGAAGAAAATGTCCCTCGTTGTTATGTATTATTAATCAACATGTAGCACACACAACATGTTCCCTTTCTGGCACCATGACTATTCAATATGTTTTGCAGGCAGCTGTTTCCTTACATTGTCTGTTTTCGTTCTGCTCAATGCAGCTTTGAGATTATAATGCTAAGATATATGATGTTTTTGCAGCTTTCTTTTTCTCTTCAGAAATTATTCTTGCCAAACTCAGTCTGCTTGGGTAGGCTTACAAGTTTGCTTACATGGCTGGCACTTGTTACCTGGTTGCAACAGGTGTTCTTGAAAAATCTGCGTATGTATACTGTCGTGTGTTGAGAATGGAGACAACTGCATAGGATTGATTTAGTGGACAGGCGCCTGGCATGTGAGAGCCAGTTACACAAGGGACTTCTTAAAATCCTGCTTCCCAAACGTGGAGGGTAGAAACAAGCAAATTACCTGCCCATTCTCTGCAGATCACAAACGAGGCAGAACGCTAAAAACAATTACAGGAACACAAACGTGCTGAGCAAGGCGTCTTGCGTGGGTGAATTGGCAGTTGTTGCCACAGAGCTGCAACCAGGTAATACTGGAAGATCAGAGCCTAAGGAGGGCCTGAGTTACTTATGGCAGGAACTGGGCAGATATTTGATAAAGAAAATACATAGAATATTTTATTTTGGGGCAGGGCACACTGTTTATCCCAAAAGGGCATGAAATAAAGGTATTTATTTCCATGGGGCTAGATATAAGCAAAGATAGTGGAAATAGAGAATTGACCAACAGTCGAAATTCCTAAAAATTGAGATATTTGTGTATAATTACAACTCCAAGTCTTTGAATGCTGATATGTCTCCTTTTGCCAAAGCTTCTAGAAAGCATTCTTATGTTTTAAAGTAGCTCAGCAGAACAGGCATTCACCGACCAAGATAAATAGCTATGCATTCAGGCAAACAGCAATCAAACCAAAACATTGTTGAATACTTTTCTTACAGTGAATGTTCAGCTATTTATGAGTATTGTTGAAATAATTAATTTTCGTCATGATCAGACTTCTAGACAAGCCTCTGTGTGAAGGAATACTCCCTTTCTATCTTTGTATCTTTTTGAAGAACTCCAGAGCCAGCATTATTGTTAACTGTATTGTAGAGGATCTTGGCTATGGCAACAGAGACGGCAAGCTCTCATGTGGTGTTGGGGGGGTCAGTGGAAGCTGTGCAAGAGGCACAGAAACCGGATAGAACCCTACTGATGTAATTGGCTTTTGATTTAAGATGGTTGATGTGAAATTCTAGTAGAAAATGGATTTCCCAATTTTATCAGGGTGCCTTTATGTGTGGTAAAAACCATGTGGGCTGCTGCGAAGGAGGCAGTAAAACAATACTGTCAAATCCATGCTTTTTAGAAGGATGAAATGGAACGAGATATTAGCCCAGAGAAGGAAGCACTTTGGAGCAAAGAGTTACTAACTTAATAAAAACAATATCTAAATGCAGAGAGTGGGGTTTCCATCCAAACAAGCATTTGGTGAAATAAAGGGGCAATTCATCAGAATAGCATTTTGTTTAAAATTTTTTGAATTAAACTAATAAAGGACATTCCAGTAGAACTCTGAATGAAACAAATTAAAAATCACTGTCATCATTACAACTGGGAGATGAAAAATATTTTAGTGCTTCTGTCTGGGTGTAGTGTCATTTCTAGTGGAAAGAACTTACCAAGAAACTCTGCACAGTTTGAAGGCCTTTGTCGTGAAATTGAGGTCTCTACTAGGAGCTAAGAGAAACCTGGTCTTTTATGCTCAAATTATAAAATGTTATAGAGAATCAACAGCACTTTATAAAATGTTTTTTTCAGATGTAATTCTTTATTACCGTTCATGAGCAAGCCAGGAGTTAAGATGTATATTACATTTCTGAATGGCATAATTACATTTCCCTCTGTTAAACTAATTTCTTTATCTTGTTTTTTTTTTTAGGTGGTTTATCCCTAAACACAATAACTGAACTTCCAGTGGATGTACTGTACATGATGTGAAGTTTAGGATATTGTATACCTTTTTGCCAAAAGCTGCAACATTTTTGAAGAAAATCAGTTGCATAGTTACTGCTTGAAAAATACGACGCTTTATGCACAAATCACTCTGAAGATAAACTTTAAGCTGTTATGATGGAAAATGTATTTATGTTCATTGCTTTTCCTTTATAGTCTTTTATGATTAACAGAATGTCGTGCAGAGATCTACTGAATGTATTTCATTCTTTCTAAGAAGTGCCTCACACTTATTTTCACATCATATGGGGAAAACACTGGGGTCTTTTTTGATCTTCTGTTCAGTTTCATTAGACAAGGTTATCTTTTACATTCTAACCCTAGCTGTGTTTTCTTGCATCCTTTACTGTCTACATACTGATACAATTAAGACAGACTGATAAGCTGAATAAGCATTTTCAATGAAAGCTTCTTCTGTCATATATAAGAACTCTTCTAATGTCAAAGGATCTGAGCGACTTGATGACCTGAATTTCCAGGACAGAGCAAAAGGTTAAATAATCACAGTCTTTATAACTCACATTGATACAAGAATAGATTAATTGGGACCTAGATAAGCTAAGGACTCTATGTTTTGTCAAAACGGTTTAATCATAACCTTTTTTTCTACTTAAACACTCCTCTGTAAGTCATTTGTCTGTGTAAGAAAGCAAGATCCTTAAGATCAAGAACAACGAACCTAGCAGTTGGTATGTGAAAATCAAAGAAGAATATATTCTTAGTGGTTAGTATTTTACGTGCCTAGGCACAGACTGAATACAGAGTTATTCACCAATGCCACTAAACAGCCATTTCCAACACAGCAGTTTTCAGATTTCTGATTTCTTAACATTCTTTAAAGACATGTTTTTATAGATCGTCAAAATTGGGATTCCATCTAGAAATTGGTTTTTGCAATTTGTGAAAATTAAGCATCAATTAAAGAAAAACTATCTACAAAAATTAACCTGTCTTCAGAGTCATAGTTGACATTTTCTTTCTAGGTAGTATCTTTTTGTGTATGTCACTTTGTGTCAGCAAGCTGAAACTATATTCCAGTTGCCTTATGCCCTCTGAAGTACGTTTCATCTTCTAGGCAGAATACAATACACTGTAGCTTCTCAGTCCTGCCAGCAGCTGGCAAAAAAAAGCTTAATGTATCTAAGCACCTCAATAAAGTGAAAGACTTGAAAAAGCCTAAATCAGGTCTCCAAGGCTGAGCCAAAATGTTAGGCTAATATTGCCCACAGTCTTCTACTTTCAGAAATTCTGTGGCATTTGTGGTGTTTCAACAGCATACCTGAAAAAACATTAAGATTATGATTTCCTTCTTCATTAAAGTAATTGAGTTTTCCTGTGGTATATGCAGTCTAACAATAGGTGGAAGAGGTATAACTATGAACAATGAGATGTTTCCATGTTCTGAAACAGTATTTGAAAACTGCTTAGTGAAAAAAATTTCCCAAGATGTTCAGAAGAGCTAGTAAACTGTGAATACTGGAGTACATATTTAATACAATTAGGCATATTGGGACAGTGCTTGGCATTATTCTTAATCCATGTATTAATCAGACTCTGATTATGACCTCAAGATTGATACTTCTTGCTAGAGAGTTACAGCATCTTTCTCCTCCTTCATCCTGCACCCTCTTCCAGTGAAGCTTAAAGGAGGCATGCTGTGCTTCTTTGGCAGATCAGGACTCAAAATGACAGTCCTTCCAGTAGCCACTGCACAGAAACATAGAATACCATTGCTTCTTTCACTGTAGATTAAGGCTTTTGTAGTTTTATTTCTAGTTCTGATATCACTACAGCATCTGGTTCCTCAGTGACTATGAGCCTTGTCAGGATAGCTTCAGTTGAGCTACACAGTATGGGATGAGGTGGGAATGAGAAGGAACATATGAGGAGATGTCACTGTTTTCCAGGGTCTGCTTTGACCCCTAGAATGAGATTTTTAATAAAATTTCTAATGCAAGCAGTAGCCCTTTAGCCTGGAAAATGTGGAGTAGGAATTTGACCCAACAGAAATCCACATCCATTTGTATGTCTGCATTATACTCAAGACACTTCATAATGACGTAATTCAGCTAAAGGGAATGTCATTTACAGAAAACAGGATTTTTTTTTTATTACATACATTAGAATGTGATGAACTAAAAATATTTTTAAAATAAGTCTTTTTGTGACTCATAGGTTTAATATGTTAAACCTATGGCATTTCTTAACATAAACTTACTAAGACAAATTAAGATACAGCCGTATTTTGCAACAGTTGCCTGTGTTCCAGTTTTTCAGAGTTCAACCTGAAATGTTTTACGCGTGATTTTTCAGAGGTGATGAGAGCCTGCTACCTCTACTGAGCTTACTTGCAACTGCAAGTAGTCATGAAAACCCACTGTGTCTTACATTAGATAGTAAGAACAAGACTAATGAATATGTCTGAAACTTTTGGCAATGTCTGAGTGCCACAGATGTTACATCAAATACTGCGAACATCTGAAATAAATAATCCCAATGTACAGACCATCACGCAGAACTGTAATGCTAAAAAGTGGAAGTGTATTCAGCATTTATATTCCTTTCTCCACCCTTTTAACAGAACGTGCTCTAATAAA